AAAAAAAAAAAAAAAAAAACGTAGTAAAAAAGCTTTGTGTCTTAAACATGTAGGATGATTCTTGTATTTGATACAAAATATAGGAACCAGGCCGGTTCATTGGCTCACACCTGTAATCCCAGCACTTTGGGAGCCACAGGCAGGTGGATCACGAGGTCAGGAGTTCAAGATCGGTCTGGCCAAGATGGTGAAACCCCGTCTCTACTAAAAATGAAAATAATAAAAAAAAAATTAGGCGGGTGTGGTGGCAGGTGCCTGTAATCCCAGCTACTTGGGAAGATGAGGCAGAGAACTGCTTAAACCCAGGAGAAGGAAATTGGAGTTAGCCAAGATTGCGCCACTGCACTCCAGCCTGGGTGACAGAGTGAGAACTATCACATTATTTCCTTTCCTTTTCTGCCCTGGCTACCAGGAAACTGAGAGCCAAATCTGACATGTAAACTCAACTCAAATGATGAGGATATCTGATTCTTCTGCCATACTTATAATTCCCTTGATTAGTCATATTGTATATGTACACACACACACACACACATGCACGCACGCACACACACAGAGCACGCACGCACGCACACACACACACACACAGAGAGAGAGAGAGAGAAACGTAGATACTAATATTCTTTGCTGAGAATTGTTTCAACTTCTGTTGGGACAGAGATAGTATAAAGAGCTACTGAGAACAAGAAGTTACTATGAAAGGAATAAAAGATCCTAGCTAAATTGTGAAGATATGAATTCAAATATATATCATCTTATGCATTTCTGTTCATAAGTGTGTTCTCACAGGAGAAACAAATATGAAGCCTTTATGATTTAAGATTCTGAAAGTCATGGTTTTGAAAATTTACAACGTACACGCATAAGTTAAAATGCCAGCTTTCTCAGATCACATGTTTCTACAATTCCCCTAAGTTGAGAGCAGCATGATCCAACACTGAACTGGGAGGCCTCAGTTTCCTTCTCTGTCTAATAAACAAAACAGACTAGATGAGCCCTGAGGGCTTTCTAGTTGCGATGCTCTTTGAGCCTATAAGAGCAGTGGCCAAGAGCATACACAATTGAGAGCCAAACAGGCTGAAATCCTGAATCTACTACTTATCAGCTATCATGGAAAAGTTACTCAACACTTGAAACCTCAGTTTCCTCATCTGTAAAAATGACAATAACTGCCGGTGCAGTGGCTCAAGCCTGTAATCCCAGCACTTTAGGAGGTTGAGGCAGGCAGATCACCTGAGGTCGGGAGTTCAAGACCAGCCTGGCCAGCGTGGTGAAACCCTGTCTTTACTAAAAATACAAAATTACCTATTACCTGGGTGTTGTGGCAGGCACCTGTAATCCCAGCTACTGGGGAAACTGCATCAGGAGAATCGCTTGAACCCAGGAGGTGGAGGTTGCAGTGAGCCAAGATTGCAGCATTGCACTCCAGCCTGGGCAACAGAGCGAGACTCTGTCTCAAA